GGTCTTCTACTTAATTGTCTCTTAAGCAGCAACGATGACAGGTGGAATAAGAAACGAGGAGGAAGGGTGGGGCCTTGGGTTTTCCTTTTGGGAAAACCATAAGCTACTGTTGCATGAGAAGCTTTGGACTTGCTCCACCTAAGGCGAACAGTCTGCCGATAGGGCACCTGCCTGGGGTGGTGCTCAACAGCCCTTATCCTAGGTTTTAACCAGAGGGCACCAGAGATACGGAGACCATTGATCTCTGACAACTAGATTTACAGAACTCTCACTTCAGAATTTCTTCAGGCTCTTTGCTTAATCTTTTTATGTTCTCAGAGAGAGTATAATGCTAAGTGAAATAAGTCAGAGAAAGACAAATACCATAGGATTTCACTCATATGTCAAATTTAAGAAACAAATGAAGAAAAAAAAAGAGAGACAGACAAAAAAAAAAAAACCCAAAAAACAAAAAACCCCAGAATTTTGAATATAGAGAACAGACCTGTGGTCACTAGAGGGGAGATGGGGTGTGTGTGAAACAGGTGATGGGGATTAAGAGTACACTTATTGTGACCCAAATACTCCAAGAGCAAGTATTACGACAACTGAAAAAAATCTATCATTGGTCCATTTGCTTGGCTTGGAATGAGTTTATTGGGAGAATAAGGAAAGTAAAACCAACTATATGGCCCTAAGAATTAAAAAGCAGCACAGAAGAGCCACGTCCACTGGGTGTAACTGCTGAGCACTTTTAGCCATAAAGCCAAGCAAGGGCTACAAAGACCTGCTCCTCAAGAGTCTGAGTTTCCTGGGGGAAATACAGCACAGACAGAACCCGTAATCCTGACAAAAGTAAAATATTGTACTAAAAACTAAAGGAAGCGGGACAGTTGCAAAAACATGGCAGGATTGGGTTTCTTTTCAGAAACCTGGCAGAGGAGTTACCCAACTCCAAAAGGGTTTCTTGATGAGACACACTGCCAAATGACCCACTTCCCCATGCAAGGTTGGAAATAACCCGAGGCCCTCTAATCAACCAGTCATTGGGATTCCTGACATCTCCTACCAGGAATACATCTCCCCACAAATTGAATTTCCCTGAAGCCTTTGTCAGTTTCCACCAGTCTAAATCCAGGAGCTAGGCACTGGGGTACCCTTTCTTTCTGCTGACGAGTAGTTGCAGGGGAGAAGCAAATCAGCTGACCAGCAGTTGCAGGGGAGAAGCACACACTTGTCTTTTACGGACAAGGTAACTTCTGCAGGCAATGAGACCCTAGACTGTGTTTCCACACACAACAGGAAGTGAATAATTGAATCTGACATCTACTTGGTTCAGATCTTATTACTTGAAGTCCATATTGAAGATCTACATAATCTACACGATTGCCTTGATTCTTTGATACTCTATATGGGAGGCACATCCTCAAAGATCCCACCTTGAGAGATAAGCCATTCTTCTTGCTGACTGGATTTGGCTCTTTGCATTGTAGTTAGTAAGTACATGATGATTCTACTTGGGTTTCCCAGTGGGTAAAAATCGTAAAGGGGAAGATAAAAGTCTGGTTAGTTGGTTTGCTCTCAAAATGATGCGGATTCCTAAGAAGAGTGAATGGGTCTGTAACAAAATGGCGTTGCCGAAGCCCTGACTTACTGACCTCATAGGATGAGCGTATGGTTCTGGCCTGCTGTGTCTGCATATAACTTTTATGCATCATCAAATATTAATGGACTGTTATAAGCATTTATATCTGTGTTGAACCTATTAATATAAATCTATGCATATAACTGACAGATTATACAGATCTGATTTAGAAAAAGTGTCTTGGAGGTATACTCTGGATCTGTTTGTTCTGTTCATGGCACACATGATGGGCAAGGAAAGCCCAAATGGGCACGGCATAAGAAGAATGAATGAGACCTAAACAAATAGAGAACACAGTCATACGTCAGCTCTACATACATCCTGGATGTTCAGGTTAGTCCTGAACTTGACAGATTATTCATTTTTAATGTGATGTGTCGAATTTCCAGATGAATGTGATTTCCTAAGCATATTCTCATGAAATTTATTAGATGTAGTCTAAAAACAGAAAAACCTGCTTTGTTAAGCATACACCTTGTTTCTTCTGAATCATTGTCCCCTTATGTATTCATAGGATAAGTAGGAAAATGCTGACGACAAAGCAAGGCAGGAAGACATTTAGGCAGAGTCTTGGGAAGACAATCCTGAGACCACTCTTTCGGGAAACATGTCAGCGTGTACGAGTGCTAACCTGGCCTTAAACAGCAAAACCCACACACTCCTCGCTGCCTTGCCTAGATCCTTCTCTTCACCATAAAAAAGCTCTCGGGAGCACCACTTAAAGACAAGCCATAACAGTTTCATAGCTAAATCCAGGAACTGTCCCCTTGACCCACAATATCTGCTCTAAAGGATGCATTTTCCACTACTACATTTCAGCACGTCCTTGGCCACCCAGTCAACTGTCCATCTAATGAAAATGAAGAACCAATGGCAATTTTTTTTTAAAGGCAAAAAGCTGCTTAATACTGCTCAATAGTGATCCTTATCCAAAAATAACAAGGGTTTCAGAGACAAAAGCAACGGGAAGCTCACGTCTCTTGTATGTTCCAAAGGTGTCTGGTTTGGAAAAGAAAAGTCATCAGGAATAGGTAATAAAGCGTATGGGATTCTCTACACCCCTTCTCCCCAAAGAATTTGAACTCTACGACTACTCACGTATACCCCAGCACCCATCTGCTGGCCTCTGATGACCACCCGATTCCTACGTGTGGACCCAGCTTCTACACACTCTTCAGAGTTAGTCAAGTGTACTTTATTTCTCAGTGATTCATGTTCAAGTTCCCAGCAAACTCCCAAAGCCAGCAACCTTAGGAAAATACTGTGCGTTATTCAACGGGAAAATGATAGTAGCGACATCAACAGATTTAGCTTGCACGATCTCTCATCTGGAGTCATTGGGTGCCTGTGGCATACAAGGCACTGTGCTAATCCACTTGTATTACAGACTCCCTCAAACTGTGACAGCCTTGAAAAGATTCCGTCTGTGAAGCTGGAAGGAGTCATCATTTGCTCCCATTTCAGGGCTCAAGGCTGCCTTGACTTTGCCACAGGAGTGTCACCTTTATAGGGATTTGCCCATGCTTGTTTTCTGTTCCTTGCTACAGAGAAGACTAGGGAAGAAGACGGACCCTGCTTTCAACTGTGCCCTATACCTGGTTTTATGTGCTTTGAGAGAATAGTACCAAAAGCTTTCTACGCATTCGATCAATGACAGTGTTTTGCTTTCATCGAGAGGTGGTGTTAAAAGAGGCATAGCCAACATAACTGTCCTCCATGTGTGAGGAGAGTAAAATGATTAGGTCTTCCAGATTAATGAGGCTATAACTGAAATAATTTGGGGATTAAAAATGCCCCTTTTTTTTTTTTTTTTTT